GGCACACTTTTATACATGCAGGCAATACACTCATACACATAAAATTAATACATAAATAAAAAAAATAACTAACTTCTCTAAACCAGTTTCTTAAAATAACAGTGAATTACAAACTGTGCTTCTTTCTGATTGCATTTAAAACTCACACTCCATAGAACTGGAGAGATGGCCCAGCGGTTAAGAGCACTGGGTATTCTTACAGAGGACCTAGGTTTAGTTCCCAGTACCCACATGGAGGCTCACGACTGTCCGTAACTGCAATTCCAGGGGATCTGACATCCTTTTCTTGTCTTTGGGCACTGCACATATGTAGTGCATACACGTACATGCAAGCAAAACATTCACACACATACAAATAAACCTTTTAAAAACGCACAAGTTCCAATCAACACATTACATATGTAACATTAGCATGTTTAAAGTAACACAAAATACAAAGCCCCATTTACCTTTGTGTGAACTGTAAATTTGACTTTATCCCTTTCACTGAGGGCATCAGAAATGTCCACTTGCAGAGCAGCATCACTTTGAAGATCGACATTTATTGCTTTAAGCTAGAAAAAGAAAGTAATACCTTAAAGAAAATTCCCTCTTAAAAGACATCTCACGAGTCGGGTTTGGTAGCACATGCCTTTAATCCCAACACTCCAGAGGCAGAGGCAGGCAGATCTCTGTGAGTTCAAGGCCAGCCTGGTCCACATAGTGAGTTCCAGGACAGCTGGGGCTACAGGGAGACCCTGCTTCAAAAAGAGCAGTAACGTAGCTAAAAAAAAAAAAAAAAAGAAAACTTTAAAGACTCTGTAATTATGGTAAAAACACATAACATTAAAAAAAATCCTCACACACATCTTCTTAGATGTTTAATATTGCATATAGTTTGCTATACCAAAGAGAATGGTAGAGTAATGCCATTTTGTGGTTTGGGTTGTTTCCAGTTAACCATTTATTGTGAATATTTCTCCTGTGAATGCATTTCCATATACAGCATCATTATTTAATGGTTAAATAGTGTTCTAATATAGTATACCATTATGTATTCAATAAATTTCACTTATGTTGGATTAAAAAAAAGACTTTTGTTGACATAAGTACTGCTAATCTTAGATGAAAAGGGATTTGGGGCTCAGTCTGTTCTTGATTTATGATAGAACATAAGAGAATTTGAGCTTTTCCATGACTTGTTGAAGACATTTGCTAGGATTTATTGAGGATTGTTTTTTACTGTTATGTTAAAGCTTAATGTGTAATGTGATAACCTTAAGCATAATTCTCTGATCAGTGAATTTTATGAAAGTAACATTTAGCACATTTACAATAATGGCAGTAAGACTATTGGAAATTGGGGGCAGGATCAATGCGTCGGAGGTTAAGCGTACTTGCTGCTCTTACACAGGACTAGAGTTCGGATTGGTTCCCATCGCCTACCCTTGTAACTCCAGCTCAGGGGATCTGATGTTCTCTTCTGGCTGCCTTAAGCACCTGTACTGATGTGTGCATACACACATAGAGACACACATAGCGATGTACATAGACACATATAGAAACACACATAGATGGATGTAAACAAAATAAAACTATGCCAAATGATTTAAAATTTAGTCAGTATTTCCTAAGTGAAAGGAAACCCTTCTCTACTTATTTGCCCTCAGTATTACTTGGGAGAAAATAAAGCAGGGTGGCAGGATGTCCGTACATGTTTGTGTAGGCATCAGGCATTCATCGGAAGATGAGAAACAACAGTTTCTGCTTTGGGGTTGGAAAGGGCAAAGCAGGGGCCCTGGGACTGGCAGGCAGGTGTGTGAGGGAGGGCTACTGTTCTTGCTGGTAATTTTATTCTCTATTTTTCTGTAAGTATCATAACATAAAACAGTAAGATAATTGCAAAGAAGGGCCAGAATTCCCAGGTGTCAGAAGAATGAAAAGTGTGCTGTGGCTTACTTCCAGCAAGGGAAGATGGGGCATGGGGCTTGCCTTGAGGTAGATCTGACTGGAGTCAGACAGACTTATAGATGGACCACTAGGTACCTCTCTTTGCAGTGCAATTTTCTACAAAGAGGAAAGTCATTAACTTCTAAAATATGTTGTTTTAAAAGGTAGAATTAATATTTTTGGACTATAATGTTTTTCATTTTTTAATTGATTTTTTTGGGGGTGTGTATTTCATACAGAACAGCTTAAACAATCTTAATCATCTTTACACCCTGTCTCCACTGGCACCCTCCCATAGTCCCCCACACAGTTCACTGGAGCCCGTATATTCGGTCATCCCTGTTAAGGTTCACTGGGTTGTCAGTGTCCCCAGCCGTTCCCCAGTGGAAGTCTGTCCACTAGGTCTACCGTAAGGTGAGCTCATTTTACATCTTTAACTGGACCTATTTTGCAAATGTATGCCTTGTATGACCTTGGCACCTATCAAAGTACAGATCATCTCCTCAAAAAGTTCCCTTGCTCTTGTTTCTGGAGAATGCTTTGTCTAAGACAGCTGCTGACCTGTTGACACTTGTGATACCAGTGCTGTTCGCGTTGTCAGTCTGCCTGTTCTAGAATGTCCTGTGAATGAGATTGAGCTGTATGTGATTTTCCTTGTCTGTCTGCTTCCATTCCTCCCCATAATGTTGGATGCACAAGTAGTTCCTTTTTATTGTTGAATGCTAAGCAATGTACTTCTGTTCCTTACTAATCAAATGTGATTTTTTTTTATTTTTTTTTTGCTAGCAAATACCCTGGAATTACACCCCCCCTCCTCTCCTGGAGTGGTGCACTCCTGTTACACAGTTTTAAGTAGCTCTCCAAGTCAGGACAAGGTAGCTGAGCATCGTCTGCACTCAGGGAAAAGTGGTAACTAAAGTATGTATGGACAGAAGTTGAAGCAGGAGATGGGGTTGGGCTTGACTGCTCACTGTTGGTGCTGTCCCATCTGCTGGGCCTCTCTACTCATGGCCATCATCCTTGCTGTGTAGGTGCTCTGCCCAGATGAAGTGGAGAAAGTTAAAAATACTGGAGGATCTCAGTGTTAAGACATAGCTTATAATGGAACCTTATTTATGTGCAGTGAATAAATCAAAATTAGAATTTACAGCTTCCCTGACATAAGGTCAGTGGCATATGACATACCATGCCAGATACCACAAGCATTATTTAATTTTTTTTTTGAAACAAGGTCTCACTGTTTGGCCCAGGCAGGCCAAGAACTCATTATATTCCTGCCTCAGTTTTGCAGGATTGTTAGATGTGTGGTTACCATGCCTAGCCCAGTGTTAACTTTCTGTCTTTGATAACGATTAAGGGGAGATAATAGCACATTATAGAATGTGCTGTATTTTATTGTACTGATAATCTGTCCTTTTTGTGGCAAGTAAATTTCACTAAATTGTTCATCTTGAAGAGATGTGCTGTACCTGTGTTAACACTGCATGTGTCAACTCTTTAGCTGACTTCCTGTAGACCTTTTTAAACCATTGAGCAAGGACGTGACATTTTAAACTTTCAGATAGATAGACTAAGGGAGGATGAATGTGATTCCAGTGCTTGAAAGCGATGCCATGGAGGGTATTTCCTGCCTTCAGCAAGAACTTCAGGAGCTATATCATGTAGTAGATTTGCAGTCTGCAGCTGAACCCCCACTGCTCACTTTTACGGGTCCAGCCAACTTTTCCCCATAGAAAGGAAACAAGAAAACAGCAGAGTTGACTTGTCCACGAGCAGGAATATTTAATGAGCACAGAGCAAGGATGATGACCTTCTATGAATAAATCATGAGTGATGCATTTGGTTGCAGTGCATGTTTCGAGATAGATTTCCCTCACCTTCAACCTATATTCACAAGTGGTGTCTGAAAAAATTAGCAATCATACCAATTCTTTTTATGGGGGTTTCAAATTACATGTAGTAAGGATTCTCCTCTCAAATGCATAAGCATGAGTTATATTTAGATGTCATTAGAAGTCTCAAAACAAAAGGGATAATACAAATTTAAAAGAGAACATTGCCTGTCACTAATGTGGTCCCATGAATAATTCTACTGTGGTTGAGCTGAGCTTCATAAGAACTAAAACATTTATAAATTGAAATAGGAGAAAAGAGTACTTACCTGTATCACCTTGGCACACAGCTACAGTAGGTTCAGTTCTGAGCAAATGTTCTGTGATTGGCCAGTGGAGGTCACAAGTTCAAAGCAGGGAAGTTTCATAAGGCTAAATCCATTGTTCTGCCTGTGGCATTGTGATTCTAACTAACATTTACAAGATCAAGCTTCTTGGAATAGATATTTTAAATTGCCATAGCCAGGCAGTTCACCACTATGATTCTCTTGCTTATTCTTCCCAGCTCTTTAAGGGAAGCTGTGTAGAACCAACTTTTAACTCAGCAGTGATTTTCATCCTGTACTTTGAATCTGCAGTAGGCTGGGATGAAGCTTAGATCATCAATTTTCATATTCAGATTTTACTCTTTGGGGTCTTACTATATAGAACTTAAAATTTTCAAGGAAGAACACTTTCCATAATTGATGGGGCCTTATTTTCATAAGCTTCGATTTGCTAAGAAAATGTCCTGCTTGGTCTGATGATGTGGGTGGTGGCTGTGTGTATTTAAAATGCTAAATGAAAAATCAGCTTGTGATTTCCAAATGTTAGGACCATCTGGATATTCTTTTGACAAAAATAGTTTAAAAAATGTATCCTTAAGAAATGCATTTTACAGTTTCTTTTTGAATTTAATCAGACAAATCATAGAAACCTATTTCATATATGCATGGAATGAGAGAATGTTGTTAATTAATGCAGTTGTATGGTATCTACATGACCAGATGTTGAATGTATTTAGAGTTGAATACTTTTATTAAACTATTTGATTAAATAAATGGTACATTCATGTTCATGTTTTTCTAAAGAATTTCCTTACGTATATCTGAATTGCAAGCTTTGATAGAGACATTAAAGCATAAGTAAATTTCTTTTAAAGCTCTTATTGGTTTAATTTTATCTCTGTTTTTCTTCCAGAGAGCACAAGCATGTCAGCAGAGGCTAGATAGGGAGATTTCCAACTTTCTCAAAATGATTAAAGAGTGTGACATGGCTGAAGGTAAAGAGGAGGGGGGAACTTCCCTAAAGTCTCACTCTTGACCCCTTGCCATTTTGTTTAACTGTATATTTTACTCTTTTTTATTCTATTTTTGTATGTGTGCGCACATTTGGGTCATGGCCTCTGTGTGGTGCTCAGGACAACTTGTTGGAATCGTTTCTCTCCTTATATCTATGTGAATTCTGGGGATTGAACTCAGGTTGTCAGGCTTGGCAGTAGCCACCTTTACCCTCTGAGCCATCTCCAGCCTCTGTTTTGGTTTTGATAACACTATTTTGAAATACATTTAACTAATGCAATCTTTTGCCACCTGTGCTGGTTTGCTCTTCCACATCTACCCCTTCCATGCCTTCTGCATCAAAACTGCATTACCACGACCGACTTGTACTCGGACAACTGATGGTTCAGCAAGCTGGACCATCAGGGCCTCATCAGGGCCCTGTGGAAAGGACAGTAGAAGTAAGATCAGGGGTTTATGTGTGCCACCTCTGTGTAGAACACAGTAGGCCTGTGTCTTAGTGAGTGCATGGCCATAGGACACCAGGAGATAAGAGTGAAGAGAGGCTTATACTTGAGTAAGGGAAAGCACTGGCATCACCTGAAAGCAGTGCTGTCCTTGAACAGGGAGAGCCAGGGGATTTTGTCAGGAGACCTGTGCAGATTTGTATAGAAAACACATAAACTTTAGGTTTATGTTTCTGGGCATGCGCAGTGCAAGAAGGAAAGGTGGGAGATTCACTTCTGTGGGCAGAGGATCTAGCATCACTAAGCCAAGTTTTTCCAAGTCACACAAATAGAGTAAGCCATTTTGTTTCTTCAAAGACCCTTAGCTGAAAAAAAAAACCTAATGTTGAAGGCATAGTACTAGTCTTCTAAAAGGGCAGCAAGGAGCCTGCCTGGCTGCTAGCACCTGTTCCTGGGCTGTGTTCTAACTGTGCTGTTGGCTGCTTCTACCTGTCCCATGAGCTTAGTACTGTCCCCTCCATGTTCCGGGATGGTAACTGTTGGTCTGGGGTTTACCCAGCCTTCCCTTCCTTTGAAAGTAGTCTCTCTTCAGAGTCTCAGCCTTCAGGCATGTTGACTTTCCCCTCCAGTGTCGTCTGATAATGCTTCCTCTCTGGACTCTCAGCTCCTCTCAGTACTTGCCACCCCTATGCTTAGCTTCATGTTCCTTTATCACCTTCTAGACTTTGTCTACTCTTCTTCCCCCACCCTTCCCTTCCCCTCCCCTGTACTCTCCGTCCTTCTCTCCCTGTGGTGAAGGAAATGAATGACTTACTTACCTAGCTTATAAATTTGCAACTTGTTTCTCTGAGTTGAGAGAGAAAGGTAGTGGATTCATTCTGTCTGGTTAATAACTATAAGGTCATACAAGTCACTGAGGCCTTCGAAAAACCGGAAGCAGCCAGGCAAACAGGGGTAGCTTGAATTCTGGTCAGTAGGGATCCCCACTGTGATTTTTTAAATATCCCTCTCCTGCCCTCTGGAGTCACTATTTTTCTTTTTAAAATTTTTATTACATTTATTTTTTCTGTATGTCTTTTGCCCTCATTGGTTATCCCTTTTTTTTCCTTTTATGATGCTGGGGATTGACTCAAAGGTCTACATTCTCAACAAGCACTTTACCAACTGAACAACATCCCCAGACTTCATTATCTACATTTTGAAAAAGTAATTCCACCTTCTTCTAGCATTCTGCATGTGACACTTTCTAGACAGTCTATCCTTTTTTCTGCCTTTCTTGGTGATGCAAACATTTTCACTGTCTTTGTTCTGCAGTCTTATTCTATTTGTAGGTTTGGATTTTGTCATTCTGTGTATATCTTTGAGTTCCTGTTGGTTTTGCTTTGTTTTGACACAGGGTCCCCCTATGTATCCCTGGCTGGCCTGGAACTTGCTATGCAGACCATGCTGGCCTTGAACTCACAGTGATCCACCTGCCTTTGCTTCTTTTTAAAAAATATTTTACTTTTATTTTATGTGTATGAGTATACTCCTTGCCTGTAGGCAAGTGCACCCATGTCATGCAATACCTGCAGAGGTCAGAAGAGGGCATTGAATTCCCTTGGAACTGGAGTCTTGGATGGTTGTTGGCTGCCACGAAGGTGCTGAGAATCAAACCTGGGTCCTCTTCAAGAGCAGCCAGTGCTCTTAACTGCTGAGCTATCTCTTCAGCCCCACCTCTGTTTCTTAAGTGCTTGTAATTAAAGGCATGGGACACTTTGCCTATCAAGTTCCTGTTAAAACTTACAGACATGTTAGTCATTTCAGTAGAGAAAAGTTTTCAACTCTTGTTCAAATTTTCATTCTTCCTCCTTGGGCAGCAGAGAATGACAGCAGACAGGTGTGGAGCTTTCACGCTTTATCTCCTGCCTCTTAGCTTCTTAGAGCATTTCTGCTTTTCTGTGTTGTCTGATCTGCTGTCCCTGGTTTGACTCTTCATGCTGGAGCCAGGGTTCAGGGCCTTGCCTATGCTCAGCAGGACCTCCATGGAGCTGTGCCACTCCTGTGTTGCATTCGGAATCGTTCCTCAGAACTGTTGTCTAGTTTCTTGCTTGGTTTTGATTCCTCTTCTGTTTTAATCCTTTAATTTTCCAATTCTTAGTCTTAATGACTTCATAATTCTAGAAACTATTGATGGTGGTTTTAAAACTTGTTATTTTTCTGGGCCTGCAAGATGGCTTGTGGATAATGGTGTTGACAACCTGAGTGACCTGAGTTTAATCCCTGGAAACCACATGGTGGAAGGAGAGAACAGACACTCAAGTTGTCCTTTGACCTCCCCATGTGTGCCATGTCATGTACATACCTACACACATACATGTATATACAAATTAAATGTAAAAATATTTGTTTTTTCCATAGCAACATGATTTTTGTGATGTACATGCATTTCTAATTGTACCTCTGATAGCTGGACAGATACCAACTTCAAGCTCCATTCAGAATGCCCCTGTAACTCTGGTTGTCGTGGTTCATGGATCTTTATTGGGAGTGCTGCAGTGGGGCTTGTGTTTTCCCTGCTTCCTGGATGGTGAGGTGACCCTACAGGATGGTTTTATGTCTGTTCCTGTTGAGGCTGCAAAAGTTCCTCTGGATTTTATACCTAGATGAGTCACAGGCCTAGGGATTCCCAGCTATTCTGATTCTCACTCAGAGCAATGGAGAAGATGCAACATGCCTTTCTTTACTGCTGGACCCAACGGCAAATCTCCTCTGCCTGTATGCGTATGTGTGTGCACATGTGAGTGTTTGTGTGTGCGTGTGTGTATGTTTGTTTCATTACAAGGTCTTAATCCATAGTCTTAGAAAGGAAAACCTCAGAACTCGTCTTGTATATGTACATAAACCCTCTTAGTCTCTGGGTACACATTCTGTCTGTGACCCACCTCTGTCCTTACCTTGCTCACTGTAGCCTGTCATATCACTCTTGATTTCTAATTTCTCACATATCTGAGTTTTCCTTCTTTCAAGCTCTGCTGCGTGTTACTTTTTTACTATTTTATTCAATATCTTGATGAGATGGGGTTGGTTGGATGATTGTGATCAACCTGGTCTGTTAGGGATTGTAAGTGTCCTGTATTCTTCCTAATACAAAGCATATTATTATTATATGAATTATCTTGTATAAGAACAAACACGTGTAGCCACTTGTTATATAGTGTAGATTCTGTTACTTTTTTCCCTTTAACAGTCCTATGTAGTTCATACTGCTGTTATTTTATGGGCAAGCTGACTGAGGCACAAAGAATATTAGGTACCTTGACTAATGGCTAATGAAAACCAGTCAGTATTTGGTTCTAGGCAGCCTGACCACAGGGACTAGAACCAATAAAGAGGCTAGAATAAGCCAGGAATTCTAGCTTTACTTTTGTCATGTGATCTGCACACTGGAAAAGCTAGCAGATTTATAACCTGATCCACCATGTAGGGTAGACGTTACTGAGGACATTCACATTAGCTTGGCTGCTGAAATTAAGGGGTTCAACTCCATGTTGTTTTCCTATTTAGAGGGGCAGATTAGCAGATGGAGAGATGGCTCAGTGGTTAAGAGCACTGGCTGTTCTTACAGAAGACCCGGGTTCAGATCCCAGCACCCACATGGCAGCTAACATGTGGGCACTGCACAACACAGGTGCATTTATACATATGCAGGCAATACATTCATACACAAAAAATAAAAATAAATCAGTATTTTTTTTAAAAAGGGCAGATTGATAGAAGTTTCTAGCCTACAATTAAAAAAACTTTTATTTTCCATGTACCTTTTTCTTATCTTTATTTATCCTCATGCTATTTCTGTTGTTCTTCATCTTAATCACCTCAATTCACAGTTCTTGTCTTCTGGTTGTGAGCCTGAGCCTTTAACAGCTGCACCAGTTCTCCAGCCCTCACACTACTTCTTAAGCTCAAACCTTGGGGTTGTCTTTCATTTCTCTTTGCCTGCACACATGTTGTCATTAGTCCTGCGTTGTACATGTCACTGGCCTTCCCTTCCCTCTGCCCTTGTATTCTGAGGTAGACCATAGTTACCTTTCCCACAAAAAGCAGCAGTGCTTCCTTCATCTGTCCCCATGGATTATTCCCTAGTGGAGTTAGAAAGTCTCCACAAATCAGGCCTTGTTCTAGACTTAGCAGAAGCCTTAATGCCTTAGGGTATAGCACAAAGTCTAAGTTGACTGACTTTATGACCTGGGTCTACTGAGTTTAGCAGTCTCATCTCACCTCTTCCTTCCTTGCACTCTGTTCAGCAGCATAAACTTTTTCTTACGTGTCTGGTTCTCTCAGCATACCTTGTTTATAAGGTATGAAGTAGGAATTCACCTTCCCTCTTACATGTAGTTTCTACAACCTTCTTGGTATCTCTAAGTGGTGTTCATTGGTGTCCAGGCCATTCTTTGTTTTCTCCATCATACCTTAAGGAATCCTTAATGTAACTTCGTTTTTCTATTCCTGTTTCTTGGCAGGCCTAACCTTGTTAGGCCTCAGAAAAGGCAGGA